ATTAATCAACACGACAACATTTTATTTGTAAGCGCCGAAAGTGAAAAGTGTAAGCACCATTGAGCTATATTCGAACATTTATTTTATTGTAAGCGACATAAGTTACACAATATTAAAAAAATATTATTTTTATCCCGTGATTGTATTTTCAAAATAAATTTTTTATAACCACATATAATTTTCATGAAAATCCATCAGATATTCGATTTTTAAAGTGTTTTTTTTAGTTCCTGTAAAATAATGAATATGTCGCTTACGCCCTTTTACCTAATAGGGCTCGATATGAAGCTGCAATTTTTAATTTTTAATCTCCATTAAACCATACGCAAAATGTTGCAGCCTCTTAAGGTAACTAAGACTAATTAATTATATTTTGAATAAATAATCAATTATGCAGTTTGAAATAGTAATATTAAAATTATATTTAATAAATCAACTAMAATTTTTCTTACATTGTTTTTAACCATACAATGGATCACTAAAAGTTGTAATGAACATGGTTTGGAAATGATTTAAGGTTGCAATAGTAYACTATGCCGTTTGATCGGGAGTAGCATCAATTCCATTTTAACAAGCGATTGCAATGCAAAAATTAAAGAATATTTTCCATGAATACCTTTAAACCTAAAAAATAACATTGGAAATAATTAAATCATAAAAGTTAATTAAATATTTAATTACAAAAATTATCACCTTTGCACATTAACTCATATTTGGTTTATATTGTTACAACTGACCATTATCAAATAACACACTAAAATCATATAAGTTGAAATTCTTATCCTCTCTTTAATGTCTCTTCTTTGTTCTATACATAAATAGTAGCACATGTTGAAAACCTTGATCAAAAAATAAGTAATTTAAATGGGTGTTTTATATTACCCAACATAAAGAGCAGTGTCGTAAATCAATTTAATTTTATCAAATTTCCCTTGTTAKCCATGTCTATTTTAACGATTTTCAGGTTTTTTTTTTTAAATAATATTCAATAATGTTGGTACTATTGTTCTTCATTAAACAAAAGTATTCAATATTAGATTCTGAGTAATGAAATAAATTTATTGATCAACAAATATTGTTTTAGTGTTGAATATATAATTATTAATTACCTACGATAAAAAATATCCAACAAAATTCCATCACAAAATAAATAAAATAAAAACATTAGTTATTACTTATTACTTTTAAGATTGGGTAAACTTGACTTCCTTTCTTAGTGGAAATAKTAAATTATTATTATTATTTTTATTCATATCATGTACCTACTATAAATTATTGTTTAAAAAAAAGTTAAGTTGGTCAAGTAATAAATAAAATAATTATTTTAATATTATGATTATATATAAAGAATAATTATTTCCTAACTTCTGATTCATAAAATGAATTAAATAGTTCTCAGTAGCTTTTTTATGTAAAGATTTTTTAAAATCATCAAGGCTTTTTTGGTTATGATTTCGCTTGATTACAACAAAATCTACAAAACCAATTTTTTTTTTTTTTGCTTTTGCTCCTTTTGAGTTTCTACATAAGCACATTTATAATATCTGATGAAATATTCAAATAAGTTAATTACTTAAAAAAAATATGTTAAAATCATTTTACCAAATACATAAATATTAGTTAGGATAAGAATATCTTATCATTAAACACAGTTAATTGTTAATTTAAACTTTAACAAAATATACTATTTACATTTATTATTACCTACTGTTTGTTATTTATAAAATATTCAATTTACCTGGATAGAGGATATAGAACAGTTGAAGAGTAGATGACGTGGTTCAACGCAACATTAAATTAGCTAACATCAATAATTTGGTGTGGGAATCTCCAATACATCATATTATTCACTCCCCTCGAGCTTAAACGAATGTGTAATTAGGAGTTGCTTTCGAGTGACTAATAAAACCAAAATATGACCAATAAAGCAGTTACCAAATAATTAATCAAAAAATTATATTTTGTTACATTGTTCATCATTTATAAGTGCAATCATTGATTAAATTAATTGTATATAACCAAAGGTATTACTAATATTCATATGTAATAAATATTAATAATTTAGAATATACAAATAAACTTTAATACGACTCACTTGATGATTTGCTTATTCAACATAGTTTTCTTAAATTAAGTAACTGCTAGATCAATATTCCTTTATCGCCTGACTTTTCTCAAAAACAGCACATTCAGTTCAGGTTGGTGGTTGTGATAGTGCCATAGATAAATTAAATAATTCTTCAAGTCTGTACTTAATTGCAGCGGAGTAACAATTCTYGTTGAGCTCTTCTACCGTTTCCATATTAAATACCTATAAATACATTAGATATAATATACATTACCTCATAATATTATTATTATTACCCAAATTAGGAATCTTATAGGTAGATTGTAATATATTTAATGAATTTATGTAATATAATGATATACAAAATAAAATATTTATAATTGTACTAACACGTGGTCTCCTCGGATAAACCTTTGTCWACTTTCGCGGAGTGATAAAAGTACATTGTCCATTACTATTACACAATTATCTTTCAAGTGGCACTCCAGAAAAGCGCTACGCTAAACCGGTGTAAGATTATCCAACATTATCCCGCACCGGAATCATGAACCATATAAATGATGCGGTCTACAAACATCCCGGTGCGTTTTTCCCACCGGTTTAGCGTAGCAAATTTGTCAACCGAAAACTCCGTCTACTTTCGCTGGTTGATAAAAATTCGTTGTCCATTACTATTACACAATTGTCCTTCGAGTGACACCGAGAGCGTTAAAAAAACTTACGCACCGCGAATTTCTTCAACACAATATKCTAMAACGCGTAGCAAATATTATTTCAATTCTGTTACAATTGACTAGTTGTAGTTCAGGTTCAACTGCAGCTAATGAAATGAACTAACCTTCACTGTATCCACATTCCACACGAAAGATAGCGGCAGTTATCGGTTTTCATACATTCACAACCAATCATCTAAGACCGTGACCACAACTTACTTACTTGCCACTGTGTTAGTGCGATAATGACGTGACGCAACGGTGAAACCGTGAAACACAGCGCAAGGGGACACAAAACCACGAACATGGTAGTTGTTCAAACACACCAACACTCGTTTCGTCGGCGTCATGCGAAACGCAAACATTAGACCAGTGTTTCCCAAAGGGTGTGCCGCAGCGCTGGCGCTATGATTTGGGAAGCCTGTGCAATTTGTAAAAGCAAATGCCCCTCATCCATCTCTTGGATAAGTGATAACGAAAACATAATTGTTAAAATATTTTAATATTGTATAAAACACTAATAAAAAATCGCGACGTCCTTTGCAGCCGCACTTCGTGCACACCTCTCGCTCCACCACTGAGTACGACGCCAATAGTTAGACGCACAAATAGCGTTTGAGAATTTAGATTTGGAATGTTAAAGCCTTACAATATCGTATAAGCTTACCTAACGCCAAAATTAAGGAAATGCTGGCGGGCTATCACGGACATGGAGTATATTTATTTTGACAAACAACTAGGTACCCGAGTTGGTTTTGATGCAAAAACCAAATTTTCAAGATTCGAGATCTGCAATCCGATGTTTGTTCAATTTCAAATATTTACAAACGATTATTTACGGAAACGAAGAGGATAAAAAATTATCAAATTAATCATCGTTGTGTGACACTGTTTACACATGTTTTGTACATTGTACAGATGTACAATAAATATTGCACATTTCAGCGGATCTCGATTCTTGACGAACAGTTGCTCAGTTTCTCTACCGTCAATGGCCCACACACTGCAACGCATTAGCGGTCGTGGTACAGGCAAAAAATATTCCATCAGAATGCAGTCGTTACCAGGTAAATTGAGGTGGCGGCGGCGGCGGCGGCGGCGGTGCTTTTCGGTAGGTTTAGCCCAAACTAGTCGCGGTGTGTTTTGAACGCGCGGCGCCCCTCACCAATTTGTTTATTTTATTATTTGTTACAAATGTATCAAAATAAACGACTCGGCTGACAATCGAGTACGGAGAACCCCTGGTTTTTCGTTATCGCGCTACCGCCGCCGTCTCAATTTATTTGGCAACAATAATTATTACAAGGATTATTACTGTACTTGGTATTCGAAGTATGAAATATTTCATTACACGGTGAAATATTTCACAAAACATTGAATTATTTTTGTACAAATATTAATGATGATTATTTATCAATTATTAATGATATAGTCCAAGAGATTCCAGGTACAATCATTGAGATATGAATACTGCGGTTGACTTATTGTTAATAAGTTATTACTAATTAGGCCTTGTTTTCGACTATTTATAGCAAAACTGTGTTATTTTCCATTTTTCCCAGGAAACGGTTTTCGCTATCGCCGACGACGATGCAATGATTGTACTATTGTCTATTATTTTGAACATGAGACTAAAATAATATTTATAATATTTGTTACGTTATTGACGGTCAATAATTTAATATCGTAATCCTTATCTAAAACTTTATAACGTAGGTAAGGTTATAACAAGAAAAATATACATGGTTTATTTTCATACAATTATTTTGGAGTATTCTGCTTGTGTGTACAAGTTTAATATTTTACTGATGTATTCTTTATGGCACGGCGTTCATAACCAGTGTAAGCGTTGCTTACAATTTCAGTTCATAGGCGTGCGCACAGGGGGTGCCGGGGGTGCCCCCGGACTCTTCACACAAAACAGCAAGGGCCCTATAATAATAATAATTATTATTTAAGTGTAAATTTTAAACCTTGAAATTTTCAAGTGCTATAAAACAGTATTAATATGCTTTTATTTTTACGAAAAATAAGAATTCCCTTCGAACAGAATCATGTGTTCTATAACATTATATATAACATTTTTTTTATAGTTATTAATAAGCTATAAATGGTTTACTCAGTTCGCTGATAATATTGTCGAATTTCATAGAATATTTTGATGTAATATTTATTTTATTACAATGTATAAAATAAAAAAAAATTATTTTTAGTGCATTTTATATATACATATAAATATTGCTGTACCTATAATGGCTTTCAAAATTATTGTGGGCCCTAATTTATACTATGCATCTCCGGAACCAAATGTCTGCGCACGGCTATGTTTCAGTTGTAAATCATTGTAGGTACATTTTTAAAATTCATTGTTTAAATTCTAACAAATAACAATGATAAAATAAAATAATAAATTGTTGTTGGAAATTTAAAAATAAAATTGGTGGTATCGGGTGTTTCGGCCGTCGCCCGTCGGTTGATGACAAGCCGATTAACTATCGTCTATCACTGTAATACTCGGTAAAATGTCCCCCGAACCCCACACATGCACTAACAGTTCAACGATGCATTCATTTCTATAAACATGATAAATATTATAGTAAGATAATTATACGTCGACGCGACAGTGTGTAAGCGATTCCAATTGCCTTCCCTATTTTGTATATGGCCATATGGGACTATTACACAGTTAATAATATAAAATATATAATTGCATTGGAACTGGTACATGGAAACTTTTAAGGTTGTTGTATAAGCGATTTTCAAATGCGTTATTATGACCCAATCATCATGATTTTAGTTGATGTAATTTTATTTATTTTATTAATTTTGTTGGTAGTTGGTACCGCACTGCACCACTGCGGTTTATTAATATTTAAAATCAAGTTCAATTATTTAAATCTTAAATATTTATATTTTGAATTATAGCATGATGAGTGATAATGATAATGGTATTATGAATAATAATTTTATTATACGTGGTGTGATAAAGAAGAAAAAATCTTATATAATTTTTGTAAAGTAAAAACCATAAAATTGCCAGCTTTCAAGGGATAAAAAAAAATTGGTAAAGTGGGTACAATTTTTTGTGACTGCTTACATTACATGACGTACATATAACTGCTTTCATATAAATGATAAATATTAGATATTTAAATATATTATTGAACAAAACTATATTTCTATTAAAAATTTACTACATGTTTGGATACCATATAATATATAGATAWACATTATGATAAATATTGATAAGTTTATAATGTTGTACTAGGCAATGTACAGTGTTCTAAATTCTAATGTAAGAATTCAGTATACAAGTATAATATTAATAATAAATATATAGTACCAAAGGTTAGGTATAAATATGGACACCATACAAATATACAATTATGACGGTAATTTATATGTAAATATGAAACTTATTTAAAAAAAAAAAATATTAAAATACAGAAGTAGGTATTTCATGAAATTTTCAAACACTAGTCTGTACTAGGTATTTTACCGTCACCGCCTCCGCCGTAGCATTGTATACTAAACACTGTTGGTACACTGATACGAGTGGTACATTGTCGTTTTGTGGAAGAAAAATCAACCGGCCAAAGAGGTCCAAATTGGTCCGATGAAGACCATTCGAGGGTCGTAAGTATCAGGGTTTCATGCCGACAGCGCTCGTGATTCGTGAATCGCTCGAGTAGCAATCTACCGCGTACAACGTTCATCGGTGCAACGGCAAATAGTTTGTTTTCGAACGACTTACGAGCGCTCGTCTTCATGGGACCCTGGTAATTACGACCCACGAACAGTCTTCATCAGGCCGCCAATTTGATATTTCTAATATCGTTAATATTTTTTTAACTCGAAATGCCAATGTAGTGAGTACAAAACACACCACGACCGACTGCGATAACTTGGCCGCGCGTTTCCCACTGCCTTGGTGTGCGCCCGGTCCTACAAGTGTGCTGACTACAACCAGTAAGAGGCAGCGCCGGATAAGCAAGGGGTATCGGCCCACTGAGTTTTAGGATTTTAACCCGCCCTAAATGAACATTTCAAAAATTGACTCAGATTTTACGCGGCCCACCGAGTTCAACTCGGTAACTCACCGAGCCTACCCGGGCCTGCTGGTAAGAGGACGTAACACACAAATTTGTAGTCTCCGTCTGCCCACAGGCAGCTTCGATAATTAAAAATAATTAGATCGAATTGACCTCTTGTGAAACTTGATGGTAAGAACATTATCTATGTTTGTATGCGGTTTTTTTTTTACGATAGTTCATGTTTTAACACGTTTTGCCATAGTATAAATTTAAAATGTTAATGACCAAAAATGCTCGTAAGTTCATGATGCGTGTGAATGTTTGCTACACAGGAAAACATGCTAAACAAAGATACAAATCCGTTTTATAATAATAGTAACCAACACTCAAAATATTGAATTATAAAAACTCACATACACAGATAATAATATTCTTACAGTCAACCTTCATATGAGAGTCGATTCTCTCTAATTTTTAAACTAACGAAGCTATACGTTATCAGCTGAGCGTAAATTTGTCGTGTTATTCCACACTCTCAGTGGCGGACTGGACGACCCGGATATCGGGAAATTTCCCGGTGGGCCGCTGCTGGTATAAAATATATATTTATTAATATTATAATGGGAAATAATAAATTAAAATATTATCTAATAAGTAATAAGTATGTAATATTATAAAATATTATTAAACATAAAAGCCTAGATTTCTGATTAGGTATTTTAAAATGCGGGACTGGCTTGTGTTCGGCCAGACCAGGCTGACAGTAGGTTACAATAATAGTAGGTCACTGTAATGAATGGTATTAAATTTGAATTCAATGATATAATATTATTGTGTACGAAAAACGAGATTTTAGACGGTATGTCTAATTACATAATTACGTATAAAAAATATATTATATGTTTAAAAGGCCGTTAGTATATTGAGGGCCTCTAAAATTATGATTTTCCCGGGCTGTGTTTTTCTCCAAGTCCGCCACTGCGACATTCTTGTAAGTCGA